CAGCACATTCCACTTCTTCAGGAAAGGGAGGGCGAAACGGTTGCGAGCTGCCGAAGGCGAGACGTCAGGCCTTTTCCACCCACATGCAAGGGGTGAGCATACCAGTGGTACACCCACAAGACCATCCATCAGGGGCCAACTTAGGCAGGGATACGCGTACGCCGGGGATAGAAGTACTATTTTGGAGTTTGTCATGTTTATCAATCAACTTTTGATTTTGGAGTTCAGCACCCCCTACTTTTAGCAGCATAATCATGACATGTACTTTACTCATCGGTCGTGTCCTGAGTTTACTAAACCTGAGGTTTGAATATCTAGTGAATCTAGTGTAAACATATGCAAGAACGGTGGACCCTTTAAAAAACTGAACACATTGCTTTCAGGACGGCATGAATTTGCAAAGACTGGGAAAAGTGATACGGGATGGTCGATAATTGTGTTTCCTCGAGTTACCCAGGTAGTAGTGAAGGTAAATGTCATTGGACAAACCACAACTCAGACTCGTCGTTCCAACCCTCAGAACACACCCGCCCTTGAAGCCCTGAAATCAACTCGACAGACACCACTTTGACTTCTTGACGGACACGAAAACGATCTTGCTGAAGCAGGTGCCTCCTGCCCCCTTTGGCACTTTGCTCATGGCTTAAAGTGTGCATTCATGTCTGAAGCGTTGCTGCATGGAGCAGGGCATGATGGATTGACGCACGTTTGGATCAGATTGAGCCCCCTACATGTCACACTGACACAGCAGTCAACGGGTATGACAGACACGTGGGATTTTGAAGTTTATATGATTCAACATAATAGTAGACAGCAGCCAGGGGTAGCAGCATGCGGACATGATTTAGGTAGGCAGCCAGCGAATCGACATAGAATGGGTAGGCAGATTGAGAGCTAGCTTATGAGGACAGATCGAGGACAGCGACGCAGTTGCCAGAGTCGCAGCAGACACCTTTGCCTCGCACTTCCTCGCGGACCACACGTCTGTCTTTTCCTGCAACGACCAGAGAACTCCTGTGGCGTTTGAGCACGGTGCCGCGGATGTGAAGCAGCTGACCAGTATTTTCCAAACTCCAGAGCATTTTTTCGGCGACACGACGTAGATGTCTTCAGCTGATGGAAGATGCTCCAAAAGGAGTATTTCTGACAAGCTGGAGACAGCCTGCCTCAGGATGCAGTGCTTTTGGTTGGAGACCTTGGCAGAAGCCCGGGAAAAGTCCGACAGGACACACTCGTGCTGGACACCCTGGCGTGTGAAGCAGATCATGTAGTTCAGGAGATCATATTTTAATGTTTTTCAAGTGTTTCCTTAAGTACTAAGCCCTAAACTAATTAGTCTAAAACCGCTCACACAGCTACTTTGTGCCCTGGCAAGAGTGCAGCGGGATATCGTCGGACTTTGCTTTCCGCTTTGCAAGCCACGATTTGGCCGTGGAGGACACCCAGGTGGACGACCCGAAGACCAAGTCCAACAAGACTTGAATGGACGCACACCTATTTGCATGCATGGAGCGGTATGGTTACCTGCAGGACGGCAAGAACGAGTTCTACTCGACGGACATACTCTGCGTCGCTGTAGATGCAGTACACGTGGAAAGCGATGATTGGTTGAGTTAACATCATGGTGTGCAGTCACATGAAGGGCAAGGCGTTGTTGCTAGAGGTCAGGGAGCCTGAAAAGGTACGCGTAGCCTTGCTTTGTTCGGAGCGGGAGGGCCGCTTGGCCTTTTCTTTTCGACCGCGAGGTACGCGTATCCCCGCTTCGGGTCGGTTTTCCACAGGGAGTTTAAATTGTAATGTAGATACGCCCGAAGTACGCGTATCTCCGCTTCGGTCCGGTTTTTCCCGCAATGCTCCCGACTGCCTCCTACCCAGGGAAGTACGCAGGGCATTGCTTAAGTTGCCCGGGAGCCCTTTGGGCCTTGGGGGCCATTTTGCGCACATTTCTGACCCCCAAAACAAGTATGCCTATCCCCGCATGCTTGGGAGTACGGCTGCTTAGTTTTTTGGAGGCTTCATGCCTGGAGAGTGCACTGGGCTTGCTTGCTTAGGGCATGGGCTGCAATTGATCTGCGTTTCGTGTGTTCTTATACAACAGACATCACACCCACCAACCCACCAGCTGAACTCCTTCGCAGAGACACACACACACACACACACTGGACCATGACATGTCGCGTGCCGAGGCCTCAATACATGGATGTATAGTCACACACAAACTCGGCTCAGGCGCTTCAAATATTGTCATTTTGACAACATGTTAAGCGAGCTCGACGTGAAGTTCATATACACACAGACATACATCTCAAGAATATGGCTGATTTGAAGATTCCCTATTGCGCAACTATCCTGCGCTGCAAATACAGTGCTACACAACCTCGAAACAGACCCCGTCCCGATCTGGACCGCCACAGGTCAGAGAGGTACGCCTATCCCTACGGTACGCCCCTCCCGGCCCAAGTTGGGCCCCAACATCCAGAGCATGCCGGCGCGACAGATCAGCGAGAGGAATCCCTCCAGCCCACGATTGATGCTGACGACCATGAAGTGGGGGCCAGGGCAAGCCTGCAAGGGGAATGCCTTGCCCACCAAAGTAAAGGTATGTCTTCGGCTTGGATAATCACAGTCATGCAGAGATCGGTGCGAAAATTTTCCGCGTCTGGCTCGGGGCTGCGTCGTGAGCAACACCTGACGCTCTTCGTCGGAGATAGCCCGGCGCACTTCAGTGTTGGAATCGTGGGAATCGTTCCAAACCAGAGGCCAGAGGCAAAGTTGTGACATGGGTGCAATCATCAGAAGAATCAACAAGCAGCACAGTGCATGTCGGACTCCACGCAACACTAGTGATCCAATGTCACGCTCCACCTCCGACATTATATGAGGCAAACAATTCGCTGCCAGTCGTGCCGCGTCTGCAACGGCATACGGTATGGGATTCCCAGTCGGGTCTTTCAAGGCCACACAATCCCTCGCCATCACAGTCCAGAAGTCCTGCATCAACATTCTTGCCACGCTCGCCAGTGGGAAAGACATGCCCGATCTCCCCCTTCAAATGATGATGAAGGTGAACTTCACGACCGCAAGGTATAAGCAACAGAACGTCGTCACGGAGGAGGCGTGGAAAGCAGCCAGAGCGCCGAGGCCAACAACGAGAACTGTGTAGACAATCTCTTCCTTGAGAACACAAATGAGTTCAAGGACTTCCAGGCTAAAGGGCGAATTCTTGAAGATCATGGACTATGGTACAACTGGTCTGTATCACTTATGGAGTTCGCCTAGATCCGGGTCCTTCAAACTTCAAACACGCAACACATGGGTTGGTGTGTTCACCTGCACAACATCCTCATCATAATTTCATTCTCTCCGAGAATGGCTTGATGAAGCAGATGTGCAAGATGGAGCCGATCTACACTAGAAGGCCCAGGGAGGGATGAGGTGGTATTCCGCTCCGGTGATGTCAGGGAGATCGGAGCTTTTGCCTTGAAAGTCCACAGGTGAAAATCCTGGAATCTTGGGACGGAGCGGAAATGCAGCCAGCAGAGCAGAGCTTATGACAGCGATGCTCCATTACGACTTCCTCTCGACTGGTGCGGACCTGTGGATGAAGATGAGATCGAAGAGTTGTCACTTGACCACTTGTCGGGGTAGCCACGCTCAGCTGCTACTCACCTTTGTGGTGGTGGAAATCACCTACGAAAATGACGGTTGATGTTGGGAGCCAAGGAACATGTGGCGATTTTCCAAATGATGTCTACACCGAAAGCTTACGAGGGCTGGCGCTGACACCATACGAGTTTGTATGTTTCATTTCAACCATGTCATCGCAGCCACCACAGTCCGGGTGGCACATGCAGCTGTCGCCACCATGGTGACCGATTGCCTCTACCAGCAGGTCGATATGCTCGCCGGCCTGAACGTGGCCCTCTAAGCAGGAGAGCATGGACATACGTGATTGAGGCATGGTCAGAGAGCCCGCAGTGTTCTCCGATGTGCGTCCCAAAGGTCAAACACGTCTCGGCTAACAGCCTGTATATATCCTCAAACAATGTGAGGGTCAGCTGGGAAAACCGTGCCGTACCGCGACTGCACCGTGCCAGACTGGACCAATTCTCCAACACTGGATCCAATGGTGTGTTCCATTTTTGAGTGGGGATACTCCTTGGATGACAGTCCAGGCTGAGGATTACAGTGTCACATAGGTCACAACTTGTATAGCTCGTACGAGCTCCGCCGTCATAATTCGCTTGAGCAACAGAGCAACGTACAATGCCGATGCCACGGCTATGCAGCTCGACATGTTGTAAAGTTTGTGCCTGGATGGAAACCTTGATGTTACACATGCAGGTGCATGTCTGTTTCACGTACCATTTGCATGTAGCTGAGCTTGCTGCTCAAGGTTCTAGCACAGATCATAATCACGTAATCACAGCTGTGCGCCTGTGATAGAAAAAGACTCCTGCGTTGCCGGTAGACTTGGACGCTTTGCGAGGGTCTTTAAACCCAGGTTGAGGGAGGGAAGAGGGAGGGAGGGAGGGAGGGAGGGAGGGAACCTGCAGATATTTTCCGCATTCGGTGGAAAGATTAAGGGTGCAGGTGCAGGTGAGATCCTAGATGGATCTAACGGTTTGCCCTTGCATGCGGACAACAAGTTGGCTTGACTGCTATGCAGAGAGAGCGAGCTAGGGTTTTGAAACCACTTGAGAGGAAAAGGGTTGCGCGATATACATGTAAGTTTCCAGCCATGCCATTGTTGTAAAGACTTAGACATCACTGATGTGCATTCTGACCGCCTGAAGGCGTCCTGAACTAGGCTTCAAGGGGAGGGGAGGGGAGGGG